TGTTGTTTTTTTCAATAGGATTTCAATTTTCAATCAAAAAAACCTCATAAAAGGTGTCAATCAAAAACAGGTGCCAAACATTTTTGGCGTGATCGGCTTTTATTTACGAGGAATAAAATTATGTTTTTTTCAGTATGAAACGCCAGTAGAAACAATCTTGTGTACAACACGTAACGAAACGATGTCTTTTAGTCACTCGACGTGTTGTCCAACTCGGCTACGCCTCGGACAATTTTCACCTCGCGTGCCTAAAAGACACTCATTTCGTAACTTGTTGTATAAATAGCTATTTTGTACGCTCACGGCCGGACAAAAAAGTGACGTCACAGGAATTTCCTAGATTCCATCGCTTTAAATACCATTTGCGGAAAAAATCGCATGTTTTATTCGGAGAAAAGAACTTTTTGTGTCTCTTCTAAAATTGTCAGCCTCACTACGTTCGGCCGTCAAACATTTAGTCTCGCTACAAAAAGTTTCACTTTTACACCTAATAAAACAATAAGTATACTATTTTGGAGAAAGGTACCTCTTTATTTGTAGGACAATGTAACCATTTAATTGTAGTAATATTTACTAAGCTACATTAAAAAAATCAACGGGTTATAAATTCTCCAAACGTCAAAAAAACGTCACTTTGTTTACCCCTGTCAAGATGTCAGAAATTTAATTTCTATGCTGGTAGGCAAATCCAGCAGGTTAACACCTGTCGAGGTGGTAGAAATTCAATTTCTATGCTGCTTGGCAACCCCAGGGGCAGCAAAAGTACTTTTAGTGCCGCTTGTACTTTTACTGCCGCTCAACCATCCAGTTACCCCCGAGCTTACCCCATTCGTTTGGAGAAAAAATAGTGTGTTGCATACGGAGTAGAAGCACTTTTTTGTGCTGAAGCAGTAGGTTTGCGAGCCGAACGTGGTGAGGCTTGCAATACTGCTGTAAAGCTTCTACTCCTAATACAACAATATACTATTATGTAACGTATCTGCTACATGTTTGAGAAGGGAGACAGCCTAGATCAAACCATTTATTTTGTCGGACAAATGTTATTTCATATTAGTTATGAAACTATCTCAACATTTCGCTACAAAATTAACTGTTATTATTTACATTTGTATATGATCACCAAATAGATATTTTTTCCACCTGCGCACTCTGTTAGCTACCTGTTTTTGGAATTTTGGCAAAAGAAAATCTGGGCGTCTTATTAAAATGAAGATGCTCACGAAGATTTAGCCGGTTATCAATGAAAAAAGTTAAATCTTGTAGGACAGTGTGACCATTTAATTGTAATGATATTTACCAACCTACATTGAAAAAATCAACTTGTTATTAATCATTTTTTATGCAACGTAATTGCTACATTTTTGAGGGGGGGACATCGTAGACCAAACCCTTTATTTTGTCGGACAAAGGTTGTTTTAAATTATTCATAAAATTATCTCAACATTTAGCTAAAAACTAACTGTTATTGATTAAATTTTTATAGTCACCAAATCGACATGTTTTACACCTGCGCAGTATGTTAGCTACCTGTTTTCGCAATTTTCGGTGAGAAAAAAGTTGGGCGTCTCGGTGAAATGAAACTGCATTGAAAAATCTAGCTTGTTATTAATGATTTGAAAAAAGGTCCTCGGCCCCCGGATTAGAAGAGGTATATTAAGATCAGCATAAAACGTTTCGTGATCAAAATGTCGTGAATCTCTATGGGTGTATATTTTAAGTGATAACACTATTACTATATATGAAACGGTAAGAGCTACAACGTCGGTTAAATTAGAGAAAAGTTGCTTTTTTTGATGCCCATTCAAAACTTGTTTACAGTGTTGTCAATTTCCTTTTAGTTTATGAAATACAGGGTGATTTCTTAAAAACGCCAAAAACTATTGATATTCGAGACACAATTTAAATTTGAAAGTTTTATAATTTTTTTCGCTCTACAACATAGCATCTTCAAATTTTAAACCCGACGTTTCGTGATCGAGATTCCATCATCAACTTCATTTTTTTTAATACGGACTTTTATATCATTTTTACAAAGGGAATAAAAGGCACTTTTTAAAAATGACATAAAAAATCCAGGTCCGTATTTAAAAAAATTAAGTTGATGATGGTAGCTCGATTACGAAACATCGGATTTGAAATTTGATGACACCATGTTGTAGAGCGAGAAAAATTAGAAAACTTTCAAATTTAAATTGTGTCTCGAAAATCAATAGTTTTCAAAATAATTGATGAAATAGTTTTGGGCGTTTCTTAGAAATCATCCTGTATTTCATAAACCAAAAAGAATTTGACAATACTGTAAACGAGTCTTAAATGGGCATCGAAAAAGGCAACTTTTTCCTAATTTAACCGACCTTGTAGCTCTTACCGTTTCGGATATAACAATAGTGGTATCACTTAAAATATACACCCTGTATAGTTACAGCAGATTAGCTAACCTATTGTGCACTTTTTGATAAAGGCACCAAATTTGGCACAGAGGTAGATCGATGTAATATGAACAAATTTGGATGTGGAGCCATCGACCAACTGCCACCCGGCGACCGTGGGGGCGATTTTCCAAAATGGCCGCCAGTGGACACCCCGAAAGACAACGGAAGTTAGATAAAGCTTGCTTCAATGAAAACATGTCCGATAGTTGATTAGTATTACAGGGTGGGACACGCAAAACTTCCCACCTAAGTTTTTTCAGGTATAAGGTGAATAATCGAAAATTACTCGGACACGTCAATTTTTGTTTTTTCGGGGACACATTTTATTGGTATTTTCACCCTCGACCTGTCAACCCCTAACTGGGGCGGCAGGTTCCCGCAAAATTTCAAATGAAAAGTGGGTTCGAGTTATACAATGTAATATTTATTATCTTTGACAAGCCGCCATTTCGGCAGGGTAAATAGTTGCAACTTAAAATTTCGAGAATATAAGTAATTTTAATAAAACTTTCTATCAAATGACGTATCACTCGACCCCCCTTTCTATTTGAGAATTGTCAAGCGATTTTTGATTAATCACCTAACACCTAAGAAAGCCTGGGTGGGAAGTTTTTCGTGCCCCGCCCTGTACCTATATTCAAGGTATCCCACGCCGTTTTACGCAGGTGATAACTTCGGAACGCGTCATCCAATATAATTGAAATTTTGGGAGGATCTGGTTAACTTTTGTGCCACTTCTACATGCGTCATCCAATTTTCCCACTTTCGCTTCAGTTTCGGTCGTGTGACGGCAACTCTAGAATCCTAAATGTAAATGATAGTATTATATCATTTTTCGTTAGAAAGTTACAAGACCGGCAATGCCATATTTGATGACGCATTCCGAAGTTATCACCTGGGTAAAACGTCATAAAACACCCTGTATATACAGGGTGGGGCACGAAAAAATTCCTACCCAAGATTTCTCAGGTATTGGGTGATTAATCAACAATCGCTCGACCATTTTATTGGTATTTTCAACCCCTACCTTAACCTGTCAACCCCTAAGCGGGGGTGACAGGTACCTCCAAAACTTGAAACAGAAAGTGGGTCGAGTGATACGTGATTTGATAGAAATATTTATTAGGGTTATATCCTCGAAATTCTGAGATGCTACTATTTACCCTGCCAAAATTGCGGCTTGTCAAAGTTAGGATATAGTACACTGTATCACTCGAACCATAGAAAAGTGATTTATAAATTCTTAAATAGAACATTCACTGGATTCATCCCCGCCACTTTTTGTTTTAGTTCGTGACTACACCGCTGTGCGCCCATATCGCCGTTTCTTAACGTCCCCCTCGTTCTTATTCTAATCTCTGACTTCACCGATGAGTTAGCTATCTTTATTTAGTGAATAGAAAATGACAATGACCGACATAGAATCGTCGTGTGTATAAAAACAAGTCATAAAAACGCAGGTATCCATTTAACATCATAATGCAAATGTCATCTTGTCATCTGAATTAATTTGTTGAGTGCATTGTCGATGATTGTGTTGAATTCCAAGACTGTAAAAGAAATGATAAGTGCATCATCATAAGCAGCCGGTTTAAGAGTTGTTGCCACAGTGTGTGACCAGGCGGCAAAAAATGAATAGGCCAAAAGCGAATTGCAACCACAGACCAGGGAAATCTTCATCAAAAACAACACAGAAGCAGAAATTTTGGTTTTGTTGGAAATAAACAACCTAGAAATCGTATCACTGTATGATGCTCCATACATGCTCGAGGGAATTATAAATAACTTGATCAACTATAACAGGCTTTTAACTAGAAAAAAATGGACATTTTCACAAAGCAGATTGGAAAGTGCTCCAGTCAGCTCATGAGTCAGATACGCCAGATCATCTAACTATTTTATTCTTTGAGTGAATCTCACGTAAATATATGAAAATAAAATGTATAAAATTTTAGTTTATGAAGTTTGAAGCACTGCCTTATTTTGAAATAATTGGAATGTCAAACCTGTCATTTAAAACCCCGATTCAAACGGCCCGCCAAATATTAGTTCAATGACTACACCGCAATGGCACCACCGTCGGAAATGTCACTTGGCGACTACAACAGAAGTGAGCGTTCTATATCAACAATATAAATCACTTTTCTATGACTCGAACCCCGTTTCCATTTGAAATTTTGCGGGTCCCTGTCACCCCCGATTAGGGGTTGACATGTAGAGGATGAAAATACCAACAAAATGTGTCCCCGAAAAAACAAAAATTGACGTGTCCGAGCAATTTTTGATTATTCACCTAATACCTGAGAAAACCTAGGTGGGAAGTTTTCCGTGCCCCACTCGTATAACGAACAAACTTCTGACATGTTTTCATTCAAAACCATCAATATACATTCACTAAAACCTTCAGCAGCAAACTTTATCTAACTTCCGTTGTCTTTCGTGGTGTCCACTGGATCCATTTTGGAAAATCGCCGCCACGGTCGCCGGGGGGCAGTTGGCCGATGGCTCCACATCCAAATTTGTTCATATAACATCGCTCTACCTCTATGCCAAATTTGGTGCCTTTATCAAAAAGTGCACAATATGTTGAAATATCCTAGCTAACCTAAAGGAACCTAAAGGAAGGTTTAGGTTTGGAGATCCTCAAACGCAACTGACACCTAATAAGGAAGTGATCAGATGCATCGAAAGAGGCATCGACACTACTATTTGACAGAAGAACCTTGTTAGAGCATAAAATTAAATCTATGACATTTGCGCTGGTATCTCTTATAGTTTCCGATATCTCAATGGTCACCATCGAATTTGGGACACCCTGTACTATGTACAAAAGCCAGGTTCGCACAGAAATCACAAACAAGTCGGAGCAAATTTCATTGGTTGAAAACAGTCAGAAAACTAGTTTCAACCAATGAAATTCACTCTGACTGGTTTGTGATTTCTGTGCGAACAGACCTAATAAGAATGGCAATAAATTTGAATAACAAATGAATAGATACAGAAAAAGAAACCAAGAGACAAACTTAGATGGAAAAAAAATATAAAACGAGTTCCTAGAAAGAGAAAAAATAATTAAATAAATTAAGAATGAAACTACAGAAACTACATGTAGAAACAAAATTTAGTCACAAGGTGGCAGCAGGAAAACTTGGAAAATAATTAACGATGTGTGCACTGAAAAGGCTTAAATTTTGACTCACTTCAAAGTCAGAACGAGACAACATACAGCAAATAGGTTTGCATGTTCCTATCTTAGTTTTTCATAACAATAATTTTAGATTTACCCAGAGGTTAAACTTACCAGGAACTTTTTAACGAAATAACCTTCATGTAATTTAATAAAATCACAATGAAACTAGCACTATTACCGCACTTTGTTTCACTACAATCAAGCAACTAGTCATAAAACCAAATCACAACTCATTGTCTCACTATCAACTTACGTTCCATGCATTATCCGATTATCAGCTTATTCATTTTCACAAATTATGACTGACTTAGTTACCATTCAGTATTCCAAGATTGTGTATGATGTTACAATAATATGTATTTTCAATGTCTTATAACAAGTCTTGGCGCTAACTACATACTGTAAAATGATCAAATCAAATCAACTCAAATTACTTTATTGCCACAAAAATTGACAAAGCTGTAAAAAGAAAAAAATATATATGTTGTATATATAAACCCATAAAAACGTCACAATATACATAAGTAATAAAAAGTAAATAGAAATATATATAACTAAAATCTAAAAAGTCAAGTCAAAACTATGTAAAAATTATTAAAAGACATTAATTACACCAAGTATCTCAAATATTTTAAAAATTAATTATTAAAGGTTAGGTATCATTAATTATTAATTAGGACGAACTACTCTAAATCTTAGGCCTAAACAAGAAAATTGAATGAACAAAAACAAAACAAATAAGACTGTAACTAGCACAAACATTCACCTGATTCAATTATATCTGTTTTATTGATTATAAAGTAGACATTTCTTCCTATGTAACTCAGTGGAGAGCTCTCAAGAATATTGTTCAATTATTTATTCATGTTGTCAATGATTTTAAAAAATCATACACTATTCTATGATAACAATATGCCTAAATTATATAAGATTATTTTCAATGTAATAAAACAATATCAATTTTTCCATAATAAATACAGTAACTTTGGAGAACAAACAGCCCATTTTGTGTTTTATAAACCCTTCTCAGTTTTGTCAAATTTTTCTTGCATTCTACCATCTAACTAGAGCAATTAGAAGGGCTATTAGAGGTTAATTTTAAAATGTTGTTGTTTGTTCTTCAATCATTCAGCCATTTGAAAATTATCTTTTACTTGAAAAATAAACAATAAATTCTGGATAAAAAGTATGTTTATCATATTTAACCAATACTTGTCCACCATGATTGGTTGTAGTGTCAAATCCTGGATCAGGATACCTTTGGCCCTTGTATCCAATTTGTGTTCTACCTACTAGAACTCTGGCTAAAATCATGACATAGTTTTCGTCATGATATTTTGTACTAAAAGTTGTAGAATTAATTGGTTAGAGATATTGAAAAGGTGCAAAACTTACCTATAATGACTAGCATAATATGGATTATTAGCAAAAGAAATTCCCCAACCATATAAGCCATTTGTCACTTTTTCTAGATCAAAATTATTGGTACAAATACTATCTAGTACACCCTTTGTCGTCCCATGAAATAAATATTTTTCTTGGTACTCATTGCGATAGATATTGTAATATTTTCGTTTCTGTTCGTTATATTTGCATAATAAATTTAGATTGAATAATTTTCTAAATTTGATTACTTGGTAATCGTATAAAAATCTTTTATTTGAGAATGATTTGTTGATAATCTGAGAGGCTTCAGAATCTAGTTGTCCCTCAAATAAGAGATAATAAGGTTTAGAAGATTCTAAGTCGTGAGATTTTAGTTTCCCTATTTTATTTGTTCCAATTTCCTGAAAAGTAAGATATAACGTTATAATAATCACAAATCACATGCAAAATGTGAATTTTGTTATGAGTAAAGATTTAAGACTTGAGTACTTTGATAAACCTACTTGTCTATTTTGATTTTTCATCAGATATCTCTTCCGCCATTCTGTAACTGATGAGTCTTCTTTGCTATGCCTGTTTCGATAACTTTCAGGTACATATGCATCTCTTGCTATCCAAAAATCCTCATTCGAACGTTCCTGTACTTCTTGAATTCCCCTCATATGCATATTCATTTGGTATTGATTTTGTTGTAACATATCATAACTTGGTGTTAGCAGGTAACATATTCCTTTGTAAAGTAAAATTATAACCGTTACTATAAATATGATAAAACCTATTAAATTTTTAAATTCTTGTTCTCTTTGTTCCCGTTGTCGTTCCAATGAAACTTGAATATTAATATAAATAATACATACTACCGCTGCAATTCCTAGTATTGCTATAATCAATGGATAATCTTCGGGGTGCTGTGTTACATAATTTATAGCCTTGTGGCATAATTTAATAATTCCCATCAAAAGAAAAAATGAAATCCATGATACCATTAGGAATACTATAATCTCCACTATAATGTGAATCAACTCGACTTGTTCCTTCATTTTTGCCAAAACAAAGTTATAGCAGTTGACAAACAAATTAATTTCGCACTGTTATCTCAATTTCACAACCGTTATTTAAAATTGCTGTATTGCTGGCAGGTCTTCATGCTTTTTTTACTAGTACTACCATAGTCCATTGATCGAAACTAAACTGATTATGATAGCTCCACTCGTAAAAAGGCTTTCTTGAGTAAATAAATAAACTATTTGTTTACTATCCTTGGTACCTGAAGTCAATAAACTCTGTCCCTCTGGGTAACTTCTCACTTTGGTGCTTGATGAAATTATTTCAAGGAATAAGAAAAATGTTGTGTTGTCACTAAAGGGATTATTGGCTTCTGTTTTTGTCGGATTCCTCTGATGTGAGATTTTGTCCCTTCCGCGCCCATCACATCAATATTTTTATTATTATTTTATTTGTAATAATTATTCTATTGGTACTAATGGTACTTAGGCATGCGCCACATGTGATGTGACTGTCACTGTCGTACCAGCTGTTCTGTGGATTTATATTTAATTATAGCGTTTTCGATTGCAATGGGTCGAACCGCTCTTTACTTGTCCAACTCGAGATCAACGACCAGAATCGATAATAATAATCTGCCTTTCTTGCAAATTGCAATGTGTTTTTTTTAAAAACCGAATGGGTTTCATCAAGTTTTACTATATTCAGGCGTAAATATTGCATCAGTGTTACACTGGTTTTTCGATTGAAAACGCTATTATTGGGAGAAATTTTTGTTCTTGTTCCAGTTCCAAGGTTGCCGTCAGTTATTTTTAAAGTTTTGATTTTTTCGAGTGTGTACTTAACTTAATTACTTATTGGGGATTATTGGTTTATCAATAATATTCGTTTGAGAAGTTTTAGTTTTGGAGATAAAGACTTATGAAAATCTTCTAAAACTGCCTTGTTAAATATTTAGTTAACAGTTGATTGTAGAAACAGCGTCATTCAGTGCTTTGGTATAAATAATTACCGTTTCTGCCCTAAAAACTCATCATCAGTACTTTTTACCAAAATGTCGCATTATTTCGACCCTGGAATCCGTTAAAAAAAAAAACGATTAGGTACGTAAGAATTTTAATTTAATTTTAATTTGTAGGAAAAAACTTAATAAAGAAATCGACGGCATATTATCGGTTAAAATCGAAATCCGAAAGACTAATTAACGTTTTCAATTAAAAGAGATGGACGATAAAGTATGAAAACATATCAGATTCCCGCCAACATTTGCTTGCTCGTCAATGTCAAGTGTATAGGGTGTTTAGCAATCCCCTGGTTTTTATTCTAATCGGTGACTCCACCGATGAGTTAGGTATCTTTGTTCAGTGAATGGAAAATGACAATGACCGACATAAAATGGTGAAATTTGAAATTAGAAAGAAAATGTGGGAAGCAAACAGTTTCCGCAAACTAAACTTGAACGTGGATATCTTTGTATACTTGATGAGCCGTGGATTTTCCTTACTTTTGCGAGTATCAGTTCTGATTTGGGTAATCAAATTTTGACAAATGTAGGATTTGATAAAAACTTATGGAAAGACACGTCCGCCGGTGAATAGGAATTATTTTTACGAAAAGGTACACTACACAACACACAATCACCATTGTTAGGCAAAAAACCTTGAAAAAACTAAGGAAATTACTGTCAATAGCTGTCAATCATTGTTTTCATACTCTTTTGGCGTCTGACAGTCTGACGCCAGAGAGAGGCTTCTAAATTGAAAAGGTCAATAAAATAGTAAATAATGTAAAATAATTGAACTTTACAATAGGAATGTTCACTATTTTTCAATTGTAACAAAAAGTGCTGGTTCTAGGTCCACAAATAGTTATTTATGTACCAAGGCTTGTAAGTGTTACTTTTTTGGCCGAGGTTTGCAAGCATTTAAGGCCAAAAAAGTACACGCTACAAGTCGAGGTGCATATGATATTTTTTGTGCTACCGTACATTCAAGATAATAAATATCATGAATTTGATGGTGCACCTATTTGCTTTGTTCGCGAAGAAGATCCCAAACTGACCCTAAACGCTAAGGAAAGAATCACATCATGAAAAGCCATTGATATGAAACAATATTAATGGCTTTTCATGGTGTGATTCTTACCTTAGCGTTCAGGGTTAGTTTGGGATCGTCTTCGCAAATAATAGTTATTTCTTTTACTTTCAAAATTACAAAGTAAATAACTATGAAGTATCTCATTTTTATATTATTACCTATCTGTTTATGCTAATTTCAACTTTCTGACATAGGTATTTTCTATTTGTTTCAATAAAATTGTATCCTTACTTTGTTTTGGATTTTTTATTTAAGAACTCGAGTGTTTTTGTGACATTATTTTGACAGAAATATGAACCAAGCAATTTTCACCCTTCAATCAACACTTTTTTGACCCGGTCAAAAAAGTAACTTTTTTGGCCCGGTCAAAAATAGTTATTTATGTACCAAGGCTTGTAAGTGTTACTTTTTTGGCCGAGGATGCAGTTTGCAAGCCGAGGCCCGTAGGGCCGAGGTTTACAAGCATTTGAGGCCAAAAAAGTACACGCTACAAGTCGAGGTGCATATGATATTTTTTGTGCTACCGTACATTATAGATAATAAATATCATGAATTTGATGGTGCACCTATTTGCTTTGTTCGCGAAGAAGATCCCAAACTGATCCTGAATGCTAATATAAGGAAAGAATCACATCATAAAAAGCCATTGATATGAAACAATATTAATGGCTTTTTATGGTGTGATTCTTACTTTAGCGTTCAGGGTTAGTTTGGGATCATCTTCGCAAATAAAGCTATTATTTTAACTGGTGTCCAGTTTGTTGTATTATTGTTTAAATTGACCTACTGATTCCATGCACCCTATGCTAGCAACCATTACAATCAAAATTGTGAAAAAATTAGGCGTTGTCAACGTATTCGTTAAATTGTCTTTTTTTTTTTAATTGCCAGGCAACGAAATTCTTATTGAAATGTCAAGTTTATTTTGACAAAAAAAGTCATAGTCAAGTGTAATTATTATTAGTGAAAAAATGTGCGAGAACGTAGAAACCGGCGTAGAAGAAGCAGCAGCGAATGCTTGTGCTTTATTGCTGCCCGAAAAATCGAAAGAGAGGTACACATTTATATATTCCAAGTTTAAAGAGTGGCAAACGGTGAAGCATTTGAATATTGTTGATGAAAATGCACTTTTGGCATATTTATTTGAGCGTTCCCAACATTTGAAGAGTCCAGCAAGTTTGTGGAGTGAATACTCTATGCTCAAGACAACATTATCCATTAATGACAGTATAGATATTTCTAAATTACCAAAATTGAGAGCTTTTTTGAAAAGGAGAAACGATGGTTATAATCCCAAAAAATCAAATGTGTTTTCAAGGCAGGAAATAAAGACATTTTTGAAGGAGGCACCAGACAGTCAATATTTGTTGATGAAGGTATGAATATGGCTTTAGAACTATTCCATAAAACAGTGGTTTTTATTTTGTAGGTAGTTGCACTCATTGGCGTTGCTGGAGCATGCCGTAAAGACGAATTGCTCAAGATGACATTAAGTGACATTGAAGATAAGAGGAATGTGATAATAATAAAAATTCCAGATAGCAAGCATAAAACCAGACGTTCGTTTACAATTATCAATGATACTGAAAATAATATTGATTGCCTTGGTATATTCAGAAAATATGTTAACTTAAGGCCCAAGAACACTGATCATAGACGACTCTTTTTGAGGTATGAGGTAGGGAAATGTGTCAATCAAGTTGCTGGTAAAAATACCCTTGGAAAATTACCTTATAATATTGCCAAGTACTTGAATTTGGACAATCCTGAGTCTTACACGGAACACTCATTTCGAAGAACTTCGGCAACACTTTTGGCAGATACGGGTGCGGATGTTCTCGCTTTAAAAAGGCACGGAGGGTGGCGATCTTCCACAGTCGCGGAAAGTTATGTGGCCGACTCAAGTGCAAATAAAGTAGATACGGCCAGAAGAATTCTAGGTAGCAGCGAGAATACAAGATTTGAATCCGCAACTCCCAGCACAAGTTCCTCTATGATAGTCGAGGATTCCTTTAGTAGTAAGGATTCTAATATTTTAAGTTCTTCGACTTCAATACAGGAAAGTATGCCTATGTTAAATGTAACTAATTGTACAAATTTTTCTTTTACTTTCAAAATTAAAAAGTAAATAACCATGAAGTATCGCATTTTTATATTACTAGTTAGGTACCTATCTGTTTATGCTAATTTCAACTTTTGGACGTCTAATGGTCATTTGCACTGACCATTTTAAGGAACCCTTAGCGATAAGTAGGCATCTTTAAAAATGACAGTTTTAGATGGAAAAATGTCACTTTAAGGAATACTTATCGCTTAGGCTACCTTAAAATAGTCGGTCCAAATGGCCATAGGTATTTTCTATTTGTTTCAATAAAATTGTATCCTTAATTTGTTTTGGGTTTTTTATTTAAGAAGTCGAGTGTTTTTGTCACATTATTTTGACAGAGATATGAAAGCAATTTTCACCTTTCATATCAACACTTTTTTGCCCGGGTCAAAAAAGTAACTTTTTTGGCCCGGTCAAAAAAGTAACTTTTTTGACCCGGACTGTAAGTGACACTTACAGTTCATGGACGTAGGTCAAAAAAGTCAACTTACAGAATGGGTAGCACAAAAAGTAACTTTTTTAACCCGGGATGTAAGTGACACTTACAGTTCATGGATGTAGGTCAAAAAAGTTAACTTACAGAATGGGTAGCACAAAAACACGTATTAATAGTCCGGGGGCCGAGGATCTTTTTTCCAAATCATTAATAACAAGCTAGTTTTTTCAATGCAGCTTCATTTCACCGAGACGCCCAGCTTTTTTCTCTTCGAAAATTGCGAAAACAGGTAGCAAACATACTGCGCAGGTGTAAAACATGTCGATTTGGTGACTATGAAAAATTAATTAATAACAGTTAGTTTTTCAGCTAAATGTTGAGATAATTTTATGAATAATTTGAAACAACATTTGTCCGACAAAATAAAGGGTTTGGTCTACGATGTCCCCCCCCTCAAACATGTAGCAATTACGTTGCATAAACAATTATTAATAACAAGTTGATTTTTTCAATGTAGGTTGGTAAATATTATTACAATTAAATGGTCACACTGTCCTACAAATAAACAGGTAGTTATTTTCAGTCCTACACTCGAAAGTTGTCGATTTCACGATTTAACTTTTTTCATAACCGGCTAAATCTTCGTGAGTATCTTCATTTTGATAAGACGCCCAAACTTTCTGTTGCGAAAATTCCAAAAACAGGTAGCTAACAGAGTGCGCAGGTGGAAAACATGTCTATTTGGTGATCATACAAATGTAAATAATAACAGTTAATTTTGTAGCTGAATGTTGAGATAGTTTCATAAATAATATGAAACATTTGTCCGACAAAATAAATGGTTTGATCTAGCTTGTAGCAGATACGTTACATAAAAAATGCTTTATAACCAGTTGATTTTTAGCTTCCTACATAGGAAGCTATGGTGATAGCCCGATTTTGACCATGTCAAAATTTCATTCATTCATAAGACATTTTATCGCACTCGCCCTTTAGAAAACTCGCCTCCGGCTCGTTTTCTAATATAGGGCTCGTGCGATAAAATGACGTCTTATGAAACTTGTATTTTAATGTACTATTATGTAACGTATCTCCTACTTGAGCTGTTTGAGAAGGGAGACAGCCTAGATCAAACCATTTATTTTGTCGGATAAATGTTGTTTCATATTATTTATGAAACTATCTCAACATTCAGCTACAAAATTAACTGTTATTATTTACATTTGTATGATCACCAAATAGACATGTTTTCCACCTGCGCACTCTGTTAGCTACCTGTTTTTGGAATTTTCGCAACAGAAAATTTGGGCGTCTTATCAAAATGGAGATACTCGCGAAGATTTAGCCGGTTATTAATGAAAAAAGTTTAATCGTGAAATCGACAACTTTTGAGTGTAGGACTGAAAATAGCTACCTGTTTATTTGTAGGACAGTGTGACCATTTGATTGTAATAATATTTACCAACTACATTGAAAAAATCAGCTTGTTATTAATCATTTTTTATGCAACGTAATTGCTACATGTTTGAGGGGGGGGACATCGTAGACCAAACCCTTTATTTTGTCGGACAAATGTTGTTTCAAATTATTCATAAAATTATCTCAACATTTAGCTGAAAAACTAACTGTTATTAATTAAATTTTCATAGTCACCAAATCGACATGTTTTACACCTGCGCAGTATGTTAGCTACCTGTTTTCGCAATTTTCGAAGAGAAAAAAGTTGGGCGTCTCGGTGAAATGAAGCTGCATTGAAAAAACTAGCTTCTTATTAATGATTTGGAAAAAAGGTCCTCGGCCCCCGGACTATAAGCATTAAAACATCTAGAAACCCTTTATTTTTTCTGATAAATCGAAAATAAAAAAAAAAACGAAATTAGCGAGGCTAGCAAAACGACCCCCTGCAGCGAGAGTAGCGCTTGTGACTTCACTGTGACTGTGCGGAAGGAACAATCAGCTGGCACGTTTGCGAGATTCGTTTACAAGTTTACATAATTTATTGTGTTTCTGACTGTTGCTTTATCCCGAATAGCTTCATTCACTCTAATTATCTGTGTTTGTGTAATGAAGGGAGACTCAAACAAGGTTAAACCGAGTCGAAGAAAGTGGTACCTCCTATTTTTGTTCAATGCATTTTTAGGCCAAGCAATAAAGGAAGTTTACCTCAACATAATAGACCTATCTATTTTTACGTGGTAGGGGGCAAATATTTGGTGACAGTTTTCATTTAATGTTCTCATGAATGTACTGCAATTCTACTTGTTGCAGCAGTCATGTGAAGCAATTAAAATTTGTCGCTGAGTTTTTTATAACAAAAAACTTCAGCTACAACAATCATTTGAAACTTTTTGCTATTAGACCATCCATAAACCGCAAGTTGAAAACCACCCCGAACTAAAAACCCAATGGAAGTTCA